TGTGGTGCTGGGGGATTGAACCGTGGTCCCTGTGCTTTGCTAAGCTTGTTCTAAGTAGGTGCTTTAGACCACTGAGCCATCTCACCAGCCCAATTTGTACTCTTTTTAAAGAATATAAATAAATGAAAATAATTTTTCATAAGCCAGTTCAGTCTTTTGTGAAGAAAGGAGCATAAATGCTCTTACTTCTACTGCATTTGGCTCATTGCAAGGGAGCAGTGCATTTAGTACCTGCTGTTGGAAAGATACTTTTTAAAAAAAAATGTATTTATTATAGGGTCTACCAGGTCTCACTATATAAATTGGACTCATAGTGATCCTTCCTGTTTTTCAGCCTCTCCAGTGCTGGGATTACAGGAATATGCCAGCCACCATCCCCAGTCTCATTCATGGTCTCAGCATGCCCCGGGGGTGGGGCTGGAGCAGGGCAGGTGGGGGATCAAGCCCCCAACCCCTGCATCTGCCTAAGCAGGGAAAGATACTTTCAAATGTTGCCAGGTGTAGTGTGTTCTCCGTAATGTCTTATAGGAACATATTTGGTAGTATGCATTTTATATGACAGAAAATTAGGGTCTGTTTCCTGTACTATGTGAAAAAAGAAGTCTGCATTGGTAATGTACCAAGTGTAACAGAAGTGTGAGTTTCCATGTCTTATACATAGTAGCTGTTCATTTCTTGTGATAGAAATGAAACATTGAAGGAAGTAAGATTAATTACAGGTACTGACAAATGAGTTTCTATGTATTAAATTGTTAGTTTCAGGCATATTGCTTAGAACATCTAATCTTAGTTTGCTTTTAAAAAGTTAAGTAGGTCCTAGGCCAGGCCCGCCTGGCCTTCAGTGAATGCCGCCAGCCACAGCTGTCTTCTGTGCTGATGGTCCAGCCCTGTTTAATGGCCTGTAATATTTGTGACTAACTTTGTTGACTACAATACCAGCAGTCTGAAAGTCTGAGGCCAGGGCATCCAAAGCTCAAGCCCGGCCTGGGCAACATAGAGATTTAACAAGACCCTCATCAAGATTTTAAAAAATTTGAAGTTTGAAATGTATGCAGCTCATGCACAGGCCCTGGGTTGAATTTCCAGGCCGACCAATAAATAAATAGGCAAACAGAAAAAAAAAAAAAAAAGTTAAGTAAATCCAATGGTTCAGCTTTTTCTTTTCTTTTTTTTTGTGGAGCCAGGGATTGAACTCAGGCCTTTGCACTTGCCAGGAAAGTGCTTACTCAACTGAGCTATCTCCCTGGCCCCTCTTCTTCTCTTTTTTTTTGTGACAGGGTTTTGCTATGTAGTTAAGGCTGGCCTTAAATTCATTTATGCTAGCTTTCCTCCTGCTTCAGCCTCCCAAGTGCTGGGATCACAGGCCTGTGCCACCACACCCCTTTGTTTTCTTCTTTCAAGTCTCTAAGGAATAGTAGTTAGAAGAGTTCTCTGTGGGGCTTAGGGTTCATGGTAGTAGTGGTGTTTGTACCCCTGAGGGCACTGTGTGGTTTGAAAACCATTCACACCGAGTATTGTGTTGTGTGGTACAGTAGTACTTACTTAAGACCCCTGGTTGATGTCTGAAACTGCCAGTAGTACCAAGCCCTGTACAGCTATCAGTCCAAAGTGTGATTGGTTTCAGGATCCTCTGATAGTACCAAATTCTGCAGACATTTAAATCCTTTATACAAAATAGCTTAATCTTTGCATACATCCTTTCTCACATTCTCTTGTGTATGTTTAAATCATCTCCAGATTACTTGTAATGGCTAACAAAATGTAAATGCTTTGTAAATAGTTATGGTGTGTTGTTTAGGGAATAAGGGCAAAATGACAGTCTATATATGTTCAGTGCAGTATTTTCTGCCTGTGGTTGGTTGATTTGATGGATGTGGGACCCCTGGATATGGAGGGCCAACTCTATACAATGTTTTTAAATATATATTAATGATAAAGTTTAATTTATACTTTAGACATGGCAAGAGGTTGACGGCAACAATGATAAAGTAGGACAATTAGAAAAATATACTATAATAAAAGTGATGTGTGATCTTTCTTAAAATATCTTTCTGTATTGTATGTAGCTCTTATAATGATGTGATTGGATATGTTGCCTACATGGTACATGGTGTGGTGAAATGAGGTGACTGATTTATCACACTTTTGTCATTTGAGATTTAACAGTAAAACACAACTTTCTTTTTCATTTTTTACCATTTCACAGGTAAAAGATTCATTCTTACCATAGATCTTAATAACTTTGGCATATGATTTGTTTTTCCTTATTAAGTGAAGAACTTGTATCTTTTCACTTAAAGGAAGTGCTTTATGGCTTCTTTTTCACATTTCCAAATTTCTAGGACCACTACTGTAGTATTTTGGGAGCAACTATTCAGTGAAATATGGGTTACTTAAATTGAAGCAGTGCAATACCATGGTAGTCAATCAGATCACCAGCACATGAGTCGGTGACTAGTGGGTAGGTAGCATGTCCAATATGGATACACTGGACAGGGGTGATTCACCTTCCCAGTGGGATGGGGGCATGATACCAGATGTCAGCACACTACCCAGAACAAAGCACTGGCTAATATGAATTCTTTATTTCTGGAATCTTTCATTTTATGTTTTCAGATCATGATTGACCTCTGGTAACTGAAATCATGGAAAGAGAATACTATATTACAGAAAACACCTAGGTCTAGGAACAATATGACTTTATTTTTATTATCAGTGTCCCTATGACATTGTTTTTATTTTCATATTCTAAATGCAAAGCTAAGTGGGTTTTTAAAAAATTGGCAATGTGTAGCCTTATTGAAACATTATTCTAAAATATTAAAAAATTTGTTAAATGTATAAGAATTTTAAAAATGTGTATTTTTATAAATTGTACAAGTGTATAAGATTATTTGTTTTTTTGAAAAACTTTAAAAGCTCTTTAAAGCTATAAAACATATAAAATACAGTTTCTAGTTTTTTATTTTAGGGAAGGGTCTACAGGGTGTTCAGGGTCTCACTACTAGATTGGACTCACAGTGATCTGTCTGTTTACAGCCTCTCAAGTGCTGGGATTACAGGCACATGCCACCATGCCCAGTCTCAGTTGCTGTCTCAGCATGCCCCAGGGGTGGGGATGGCACGGTATGCCCGGGGGGGTCGAACCCCTAGCCCCTGTGCCTGCTTGCAGATGTTTTAATCCGCTGAGCTATGTGGCCGACAAGTTTCTAGATTTTTCAGTATTTCATTTTTCTCTGAAAATGTCTATTTCTTTGTGACTAGTTTTCTTCCAGAAACCACAGATAGTTATTTTATCTTCAGTTCATTGTCTCTTCTTTCAATAGATCTGAATCCTTAGGTTAACTGATTCCTATTGTTGGTGTCTAAACTAAACTCCTGAAGTTATTTGTGGCCCCAAGTGAGTGCCAGCAATGAAGCTATTATATATACTTATCTCCAGGGGACTGGAGAGCTACTCTGAGGTTTGGGAAGGTAGGGAAGGAGTTATTTGCTTCATTGCAGCTTTTGGCACCAATTTACCCTCATGTTGGTAAGTACATAAATCTAGCTGGAATCAGGTCTAATGGCCAAGCCTGCCTTTCATGACTATAAAGGTAACAAGTTCAACAACAACCTGTACCACAGTATTGATTTCTCTTTGTCTATAATCAGATAAGCAAATAAGTTTTTCTGACCATCTAAGTTTTGGAATATCCAGTGGACTAAAGGAAATGTAAATGATTTTTTCTTTTTCTTTCTATTTTTTGTTTTTAAAGAGATCTTCAGATCATTATGATCTAAAGCCAAAAACAAAACAATCAAACACATGCTTGGAGTGATTGAATACAGCTATTAAAAGCAAATATGGAAAATGAGCCAGACCATGACAATGTGGAACAAGATCTCTCTGTCAAGACTACTACTGAAGAAGAACTGAATAAGTCTTTCAATCTAGAAGCTTCACTTTCAAAATTCTCTTACATAGATCTGGACAAAGAACTGGAACTGAGAAATGATTTGGTAACACTTCAGCTTTTATCAAATGATTATTTTTAACTGGAGTTTTGATTGTAGTGTGTTTTATGATCCAAACACTGTCAGCCTATTATTTTTGTATGGGTTAGTATGCATCTGTGTACAGTTTTATGAGATACTGTCCCTCTTCATTTGTGTAGTTTATTACAGTTTATAGGATACTTTGATTCATGTTGTCAGTTGAGCTTCACAGTACTTAGAGTTCTGTGATAATCCATTTTATAGTGGAAGATACTGTGTACAGCTGTGTTAAATGACTACTCAAAGTCAGAGAGCTAGTGGTCGATTTAGAATTCTTACCTTGTATAGCAACTTTTCTCTAATGATTAAATACTATGTTAATGGATTTCTGTGATGATATTAACAAGTTATTTGACTTAATTAGGTTACTATAACTTATGAAATAACTTAAGAAATATGATATCAGGCTTTAGCATATCACTTATGACAGCTCAAAATTTAGGAGATTAGGGGTTGTCATAAGATACAATTTTTTGTCATGTTGAAGAAAGCTGATGCAGAAGACCTTGAACAGAAGTTGTCCGAATGAGGCTGGGGAGATGGCTCAGTAGAATAAGCACTTGCCTGGCAAGCACAAGGGCCTGAGTTCAATCCTTGGTTCCAAAAAAAAAAAAAGTTGTCTGAAAAGGATCGTTTGATAATGCAGTCCAGTGCACCCGTGTGCACTGAGTGTCATTGTTTGTATGGATAAGAAAGGTAACAATCCTATAATCTTTTTTTTTTGTGTGGCTGGCTCAGCCTACCCTGGGGGCGGCACTGCATGTGGTGCCAGAAATCTAACTGTGTTCCCTGTGCATTTGTCTGAGCTTGCCTAAGCAGGCATCTTAGCTTACTGAGCTGTCTCACTAGCCCTTCTTATAATCTTTGGATCTGACTCTTATCATTGTGGGTTACTGAATTGACTGCTAGATCAATTTTGTATTAAGACTATCTTATGTTGATAGTTGGTTAAAATACCCTCACAATTTTAAGAGGAAAACCATTGTATTACGGGGATTAATTTTTTGTCTTTATTTAGATTGATGACAAGGAGTTTGATATCCCTCAAGTTGATACTCCTCCAACACTGGAAAGCATATTAAATGAAGTAAGTAAATGATCATTATCATGTTGTGGCATTGATTTTTGGTACTTTTGGGTTATAGTATAAATAACTACATGTATGGTATCCAGTATGGAAACCACTAATGACGTGTATTTAAAGCTTAAATTATTTATAATTAAATAATTCTATATGTTAGGACATAAGTCACATCACAGATACTCAATAGCCTCATGTAGGTGATGTGTGCTATCGTGAGCAGCATAGATATTAGAATAGTTCCATCACTGCAGAAAGTTTTGTTGGCCAGCATTGGTCTAGATTGTTCGTTGTTACAGTCTCTGGCCAGCTAAATGCCTAATCCTTGGTAGACTTAAAAAATTCGGGCTGGAAGGTATAGCTTAGAGAGTGCATGCTGAGCATGCAGGAAACCTTGGATTCAATCCATTGGATTCAATAAATATGTTTTATTAAGTGAATTGAAATATTACATTCATATCACTTCTGAGATTTGTATTAGGTGTTGATAATGATTCATTATCTCTACCAGTCATGTTCAGACAGCTCATCCTTTGATACTAAAGAGCATCTTGCAACCTCATAGTGACATTCTTCATTTTTCTACATGAAGGAAACCAAACCTCCACTATTTGACTTATGAATGCCATTTCTAGTAAAGAGTTTTTCAGCTTTGAAATGGTGTTACTCTTTTGTGAGTTGGTAGATGAAAAGGAACTCTGGGGGAGTATGTGGCTGAAGTATGCCAGTTTCTGGGTACTGCTGACAGCTCTTCTCTTCAGTCTTTTTCACCTTTTGAAAACTTGCTTAAGACTTTTTTTAGAGACTTCAGCTTCTAATTTGAGAAAGATTTTTTTATGTATAAATCTATTTCAGATCAAAATAGTTATTTTGTTTCCCAAAAGAAAAGGCTGCAAAGGTTCCGCCAGTAGAGATGGCCACTGCTGCTGTAACTCTTGAGTTGGACTTCTGTTCCTTACCTGTATTTTTGGGGTTGTAGGCAGTGCCTCCTAAGATGCAAACTAGTTTCTTTATGAATTGTGTCGTTTTTCTTCTGTGGCTTTGATTTCTGGTTTTCTTGTTATCAGTTTGATGTTGCTGTCACTTTGAATGTACAGTATTTTCAGAAATTTTCTGTGTGATCTATGTTAAGGCTTAAGCATTTTTAGTGTTGAGAGGTGGTATTGGGCCCTCTATAAAGTATTGCATTACAGGGAAATGGCCTTTATTATTTTTTAATGTAGATAAAAGCTTTCATTTAGAAGTGAAGAGATTAATTTTAGTCAGTTTTATTAACATGGTCATAATCACATTCTCATTTCAATTATCTTACTAAGCATGAAATAAAAACAATCCCAGAGGACTGTGTATGAAACCATATTTGTACATTTTTATGTAATGTGGATACAGAAAATAATGCTCATATGAATGGGACTGTGGTTGTAATGAAGACAGACTGTCTTTGCATAAGCTTTCTTATCTCTGATACCAGTTAGTCTTGTCATTATTGGTTTACCAAGAAAATAATGCTGTTATCATTCTCCATGTATTGGGTGCTTTGTATATTTGGGTTATGGTGTTAGATGCTGGCATTATAAAAATTATATGACTAAGTGTTTGAGAGGGAAATGTGACTGGAAGTTGGCCAGTCTTCCTACCTCCAGGGAACTAGGCAGGCAGATAGGTGAAAGACAAATAATTTCAGTTGTAGAGCATTAATGAAGACTGTAAGGAGGGAGGAATATTAAAATGATTTTTTTAAGTGAAGCTCAGAAGTGTAAATAAGCCCTTGCTCCAGGCTATGTGGGTGCATGTATTCTATAATGTTCATTAATATCAACCTGAAGGAAGGCTGTGAAGAAATGGGTGATCAAGACATTTAAAAGAAAATAGAAAGCTAGAAATTACTGGGACATCTGAGATCCTAGAACTTAGGGCATGGAATAAAATTACTAGGCCTTGTTGTTCTTTGAAATGGTGCTGCCTTTGAAGTTTTTAATTTTGAAATTTCATTCTCTAACCATAGCACCTCCCTTCCTTTACTTCAGTAAAGTTATTCTTTGTCCTCATCAAGACCAAATCTTTCAATCCTTCTAGTCTCTGAGCCTCTGCATAGCTGCAGTTTACTTCAATCTCACTGTTGGATTCTTCAGCAAGAAATGTCTTTTAAACTCTTCTGTTGAAGTACAGCATGCACACAGAAAATGCACAGGCCATGAGAGTACAGCACAGTGAATCTTCACAGTATGGACAACCTGTATAACCAGAATCCAGAAGAAGGAGCTAAATCTTCCTGGCAGCCCAGAAGCAACTCTTGTGTCCTTTTAGCACCCAACCTCTGAATAGTCACTATTCTACATCCTGCTGGCTCTGATTCATTTGTCTGCTTGAATTTTATATACATGGAATAGTGCACTTTTGTCAGTGTACATGAGATAGGTACTCTTCTGTATTTGACTTACTGTCCTCATCTTTGTTTTTAGGCCTATTCATATTTTTGCTAATTAATTTATGTTGCTATAAAATATACATACATGTACACACACATACTTAATTATTTATTCATTCAGTTGTTGATAGACATTTGTGAAGTTTCCAATTTCTGGCTGTTGTGAAGAGTGCTACTGAGAATATTCTTTTTTTTTTTTGGCGGAACCGGGGATTGAACTCAGGCCCTTGTGCTTGCCAGGGAAGCACTTATTCCACTGAGCCATCTCCCTGGCCCCCTGCTGAGAATATTCTTATTCATACCTTTTTGTATTCACATCTTGTATTTACACATGCGCACATGCTTGTGGGGGGGGCATATATTTGAGAGTAGAATTGCGGTCAAGTCATCAGGTGTGGTGAATACTGCTATGGTTTTTCAAAGTGGTTGTTACTGACATATACTCCCATGAGCAATACATGAGTGCTCTGGTTACTTGTACACTTGTTAACTTTTGAATTTTTCTGTCTTTTTTCACTTTAGTCTTTCATGGTTATAGATATATAGTAGTATTACACCCTGGTTTTAATTTGAATTTTCCTGAAGACTGGTGAAGTTGGGCACCTTAATGTATGTCTTGGCTATTAGAATATCTGCTTTATGAATTGCCTTTCCATATCTTTAGCTTCTGCTTTTATTTTATTTATTTATTTGGTACAAGCTCTCTCTACACAGCTTGGATTTGTAGTGATCCTCCTGTCTCAGTCTCCCTGGCACTGGGATTACAAGTGTGCACCACCATGCCAAGTTTTGGTGGCTGGCACAGTGCACCCGGGTTTCTGGGGCTGGCATGGCATGTGGTACAGGGATCAAACCCAGGTCCTTGCACTTGCTAGGCAGGTGCTTAGACTGCCAAGCTATCTCCCCAGCCTTTCTGTTTTATTTTTAAGAAGATGATTTATAAGAGTTCTTTTATATAAAGGTACAAGCTCTTTCTTTATTAGGTGTATTTATTGTACTGTCTTTTGTTTCGTAAGATATCTTTTATTCTACTAATAGTTTCTTTTGGCAAAAGAAGTTCCTAATATAGTTTAGCTTATTAAATTTTTCTGTTTTTTTTTTTTTGTGTGTGTGTATATCTTAAAATTTTGCTAGTTCTGTGGCCGGCGATATATCTCAGTGGCATAAGAGCCTGCCAGGAAATTGCAAGGTCCTGAGTTTGATTCTCAGTCATGCCCCCCTAAAAAAAAAAAAAAATTTTTTTTTTTGCTAGTTCCAAGGTCATGATGATATTATCAATTTTGTTCTAAAAATTTTGTTTTACCCTTCACATTTAAATCTATAATTGTTTGAAAGGTGTGTGTGTGTGTGTGTGTGCATGTGCTAGATACCATTTACTGAAAGGAGTATTGTCTGTGGTGTCACTTTTGTTGTATATCTCATTGCCTTGCTTATACTTGGTCTTTGTATTTCCACATAAATTTTAGAACTAGGTATTGGTTTACACACGTAGACATACAAATCAACTGAAATTTGATAGGGGTCTCACATATCAGTTTGGGGGAAATTGGTACCTCTGTTGTGTGGCAGTAGTTTTTTTTTTTTTTTTTTTTTTGCAAAACTGGGGATTGAACTCAGGCTCTTGTGCTTGCCAGGAAAGCTCTTATTCTACTGAGCCATCTCCCTGGCCCCAAAACTGGTCCTCCATCCCCCCGACCCCTGGTACCGGGGATCAAACTCAGGACCTTGCACTTGCCAGGCAGGCACTTATGCCGCTGAGCTATCTCCCCAGCCCCTGTATGGCAGTAGTTTTAATTTTTTTTTTTTTTTTTTTTGTATTTTAGGACAGGGTCTACAGGGTCTCACTACATAGAATGGACTCATAGTGATCCTCCTGTTTTCAGCTTTCCAAGAGCTGGGATTATAGGTGTGCCCCCATGCCCAGTCTCAATTGCCCTCTCAGTGTGCCCTGTGGGTGGGGCTGGCACAACATGCTGGGGAACAGAACCCCAGCTGCTGTGTCTGCCTTAGCAGGTGCTTAAATCGCTGAGCTATTTGGCCAGCCCTTTAAATTTAGTCTTGACATCCTTAATTCTTTGTTTTCCAGTTTTTCTTTCACTTATCCTGTAAGCCTGGCTTAATTTAGCTGATCTGTTTTCTTTAATTATGTCCCCAGGCTGCTTAAAAAAATCAAATAAGTTTTTGATCATCTCTCTTACTTAAGACCTTGTTGCTGCAGTTCTTATTTCTGAATTACTTCCTTTCCCTTTCCTATGGCAATTCATCCAATCTTTGACAGCTCTCAAGCAACAGTATTTCCTTTCCAGTGCTAACACTGCTTTTAGTAGACTTGTTGTATGTGTAGATATCTGAAAAGCAGTTGCTAAAGGTACAGGTTTCAGAGTCATTCATATGACATGGTACTGCAAGCTGTAGATGTGGATGAGTTTGATCGTATAGCTAAGGTGTGCTGGGGAAAGCGGCTCTAAAGTTTGGCTGAGTAGAAGCTAGAGAACATGATCACAAGGGTCATATAAATTGGAGAAGAACCAGGAAAGCGAAATCTTAGGGGAGATCAAGATCAGTTAGATAAAGAAGA